CATGAAGAAATTCCTCCTGATATCCAGCACTCCTGTGGAACATAGATTTTCTCCCCTTTTGGTGGTGGTTGAGGATGGTTAGGAGGCCACAGCCATGTGAGGGAAGACTCCAAATGAGATTACCTTGAAGATAAGTTCCCATTTGGAGCTGTGTTGTCCTGGTGTGTCAGCAAGTACAGTCATATAGATGTTATCAAGTAATAAAATCTTTACAGCACATGGCATGAACTGTGTAGATAATGGGGAGATTGTTATTGGGGTTTGAACAGAAAAGTCCAGAAGAGTAGTTGTAATGATTTGTATCTTTAGGGTTGTCAGTTATTAACTTTATCAGAACTATAGGTACTTTCCAAATAAGACATCTATAGAGGGTGTATCTTTATCTCAGTTTTTTAGTCAGGAGACTCTGCAGACAAGGTTGAATTATGTCTTCCATTTTAACAACCTTTTAAATGTTGTCTGTATTAGACTAAAACCACTGAGCTTCAAAACATTCCATAGCGGTTCTTAATCCAAAGATGACATTTCAAAGAAACCGGGCCAGTTTTGTGGGAACTAAATTGAGAGTAGCCAAAATTAGTTTTTCTGTGCATTTTCAGGTTACCTGAGCAGAAACTGGTATAAAAAAATTCAAGTCTTCTGTTGCAGTTGTTGTTAAACTTAAAAATCAGTAGAGCCTCCAATTTCTGCTATCTGTCCCCATTCCATGTCATTGGATACAACTGATAACATTTGGTATGGGATAACTAATTAAAGGGAAGAATCGTAAAGAAAGACAAGAAGACTTAAATCCACAAGAAGTTGCTGGTATCAGGTATGTTTTTCCTTAGGTTTAGTTCTCTGTTTTCAGTTGCCCAGCCCAGATCTCAACATTCCCACCGAGGTACCACTCGGAGACCAGGAACACCAGTCAGACCTGAACACTTCCTACAGGAGCTCTGCCAGCTAGTACAGCTTCAATGAATCAATCACTTGGTTGGGTTCCTTTCTGGGAAATCCCTTTCTGGAGATCCAAACAGACAGAAGGTTTTCCCAATAGACTGTTTCAGCAGGAAATAATTGAATTTTCTTTTAGAGAGTCCCTCAAAAATCCAGTATTTTCAGCAGATCTGTATCTTCCTCCCCTGTAAATATTTCTATCTCTAATAGGATCCTTTTTCTCCTGTTTTTGTTGGGCAGATCCATGTCCCACGTGGGACAAGGACAGGGTCTGGTCTGTGTCACCTGTAGAGCTGGCAGGTGGATTTCTGTTAAATATCTGAACTCTGTACAAGCTGTTCAATAATTCAGCCACATGTTGTTGGTAATTACTTCTCTCTGCTTATGGCTTAAGAATAGTAACACCTCAGACTAGACTGAATGGGTACTTAATAAGGCAGCAGGGTAACAGGACTCCCCTGGAATTACACATTACATTAACACCAAAAGAGTTCATTCTGAATTCATTATGAATGATTGCTCTGAGTACCAGAGGAATTAATAATCATTAGTCATTTACTACAGAGGGTTGCTCAATAATGGCCAGATAGAGCTGGTTTAAGCCTTTACAAGCTTTCCTGAGCAAGTTTCATTCTGAAAGAATCATTAAATGTAACTTTCTGTTCACTAGAGTGTTCCTACTCATATTTTGAATGTGTACTCCCAGTTCAGTTGCATTCCAGCTCTAAAAGCACTTCAAAGACACACAGCCCAGTTCATTCACTGATGGAATTACTTCCCTTATCTCCACACTGTCTCCCAGTGTATCTCATTGGCTTTATGCAGCACATCTGAGAGGTTAATAAACTTTAAAGGATGCTGGAAGGCATTCAAGGGCAGGGAGATTCTGACAGACAAAAGGAATGTAAAAGCATTATATTTATGACTTTGTGGCAAGTAAATTCTCAATGTAAAGATATTCGAGGCCTTTGATTTGGTTCCTTAAAGCTCCCTCTATTCCCAGCAGCATTTGAAGACTCGACTGTTTTGCATATCAGAGGTAGATGACTTGGGAGACACAGGGAATTAACTGCTCACTTTAGACAACCTTTTCCTTCAGGAATGAGCTTCCACACAAGTTTTACTTCTTTGACAACTTATACATGTTAACTGTCTACAGCAGCAGCACATTTGGAATTTACATCATCCCGATAAATTCAAATACAATGTCGAGCTTTTCTGCAGAACCTCTCATTTTAATCAGTGAATTATATCATAGAATATCACAGAATATCCTGAGCTGGAAGGGACCCACAAGGATCATCAGTTCCAACTCCTGGCCCTGCACAGGACACCCCAACACTCCCACCCTGTCCCCGAGAGTGTTGTCCAAACGCTCCTTGAGCTCTGTCAGCTTTGGGGCCGTGACCACTGCCCTGGGGAGCCTGTTCAGTGCCCAGTCACCCTCTGGGGGAAGAACCTTTTCCTGATATCCAACCTAACCCTCCCCTGACACAGCTCCAGCCATTCCCTGGGGTCTTGGTACTGGTCTCAGAGAGCTGCCCCTCGGGAGGAAGCTGCACATCCCCATCAGATCTGACCTCAGTCTCCTCTCCTCTTCTCCAGGATGAACAAGTGTGGGACACGTTCCCTGCCCCACAGGCACTGGCCAGTGCCCACCAGATGGACCAGGATGCTATGGAATAAGGAGTTTTGGTTTGCCCTACACAAAGCACCCCTGGGAATGAAATGGATGGGTAGTCCCAGTGTTCTGAAGACAATGGCCCATTTCTGAAAGCTCTTTTCAGCTTTTACACCTGAAGCTTTTTATTCCTTTGCCTTTCTCTGTTACCCACCTTGTGCCAGGGAAATGTTCTTATTTTTTTCACTGGACTCAGTTACAGCTGTTAATTCAGTAGGATTTGAACTGAGTTCTGTAAAGCAGAAGTAGAACATAACCAGGGTTGTTTGCAGCATGCATGCAGGCTCTACACTGTAGTAGCTGGAATGGGTTTAATGTACATACTGTATTTAAAATGCCTGTATACCTAGATAATTCTATTTTAATTATTTTTAAGTGGTAATTCTGGAGTTCTCTGCACCAGTTAGCTCAATGCTCAGCCCACCTGCTATACAGGTGTGTAAAAGCCAGCATCACATGCTCACAGCTCTGAAGAGGCAAGAAAATTAGGAATATTGTAAATACACAGTGGAAGATCATTAAATGATCTGGTTTTAGTTGCAACTGAAGAGACAGAGGTGTAGGTGAGTAATCTGATAAATTGTGCAAGTGACTGTAACTTTAGTAAAGTCAGAGGGACTCAATTTCATTTATTCTTGGAGTAAACATTGTGCTGACTCAGTATTTGTAGACTGCTTAATGACACTCTTCAATCTGCAATATTAAAAAATGAAAATAAGAAAAACAAGCTGCCCAGTTTTTGAAGTAATTCTGGTAGGATATGTGCAATGACAAGATTTTGGGTTTGAGATTTGAATAGGAAAACATTTCCTGCTTCAGGAAAATTTTTGCAGTTTCTAAACTTATTCACTACTTAATTCCATTTCATTTTGTAGCAAAAAAAGCAGGAATGAAAATACGGATTTATTTCAGAATGAGTGTGAAGAAACATGGGTGCAAATTCACAATGCACATTAAAAATGCCCCTGAACAGACAGGAAGAGGTGATGGCATCGTTACCAAAACCTGCTCTAGACTGATGCTGACCCTGGGCAGCCTGGCAGAGCAGCACATTCATTAACACTTTACCTTTATGGTTTGGATGGATGTTTGTAACCTGCTCTGGAACTCCCATGCACAGCGCAGTGTGCAGCTCCTTGGAGGTGAATAAACTCATACTCAGTGTGTGGCAAGAGCAACCCACCCAGTCAAATAGTGATTCATTGATAATTTCCTGTACTCCAGACGTGCACAGTGGCTCTGTGCCCACCACGCTCCCACAACTCTCCGTGTCGTAGAGTTGTGTAGATGTCAGCACTTTTATATCACAGCACAAACAGTTTGTCAATAACATCTGGTCTTTATAGAGGGAGAATATAAAAGCTCAAGTGCTGTTCATATAATCTGATTATCTCTTTCCTTTTACACAGAACTGGCTCATATTCCTTATCCAGTCTGATCTATCTCCCAAGGTCCATGTGGTGTAACCACCTCAGTGGCATTGTCCCCTGGGAAGTTTTATGTGAACAGAAGACTTTATGACTTGAGTTCATGGACCTTCTTCCCAGGGTTGTGCAGGTCCCTTTGGAACACTCAGAGTCCAGTGCTCACCTGAGGACAGTCTCCCCAGTCACCCTCTCTCCAGCTGGGGCTGGACACTGGGGAGCTTTGGTGAGCTTTTGGTATACACAGGGGGAGCTCAGGAATCTTAACTAGGGACTTGCTCTGCCAGTTGTGCTGAGCTACTGGAAAGTCCCATTAGAAGTTCCCTTCTTGCTGGATTCAGGCTCTTCACTCATCAGTCAGTGTGTTAGTCTTGAAATTGTCTTATTTTTCCCCTGTAAGAATAAGTTTAGAAACTGCAAAAATTTTCCTGAGGTGGGAAATGTTTTCCTGTTCAAATCTCAAACCTGGAATCTTGTCATTGTCCATATCCTACCAGAATTACTTTGAAAATTGGGCAGCTTGTTTCTTATTTTCATATTTCAATTATATAGAGTATGCTTCCAAACAGAAAAAGGCTATGATTCCAGGACACTGCTTTGAAGCCATTTTCTCCCTCTTTCATTATAACTTATTTTACCTTTATTCCATCCTGAACACAAAACCAGTGGAATATTGAAAGTAAAATTGTATTACTGTTTAAATATGCACTAAAATGAAAACTGAGCTTTTGGCCTTGATTTCTGCTGATCTCCAGATTATTCTCAAGGATGTTTCATTGCATGATAACCTTGATTTTCACACAAGTCAATGGCATTGATGCCAGTGACTCACATGGGTCATAAAAGTATATCTCCAAGGGGTGTGGGCACAGGTGGGCTGAGCAGCTTGAGCTGGTTTATAAAACCCAGGGCCTCAGCTCATCTGCACTGATCCATTCCGGTCATTCCAGCTGCTATTTCGCTCTCCCAGCCACTTCCCAAGGGAAACATGGCATTTGCAGGCAAATACGAGTTCGAAGGCGATGAGAACTATGATGAATTTGTGAAGAAGATTGGTAAGTCTGGCTTGGGGTGTCAGGCACAGGTCTTCTATTAGTTGAAGTTTCTTTTTTTTTTTTAAAGAAGGGGGTTTAAAACTGAAATTATTAGAAGGGTGGAGCACATCTCCTATGAGGAAAGGCTGAGAGAATTGGGATTGTTCAGCCTGGAAAAGAGAAGCTTCAGGGTGAACTAATTGTGGCCTTCCAGTACCTGAAGGGAACTGACAAGAAAGGTGGAGAGAGACTATTTCCAAGGGTCTGGAGAGACAGGACAAGGGGGAATGGTTTCAAGCTGACAGAGGGCAGGGTTAGCTTGGATATTGGGAAGAAATTCTTCCCTGTGAGGGTGGCGAGGCCCTCCACAGGTTGCTCAGAGAAGCTGTGGCTGCCCCATCCCTGGAAGTGTCCAAGGCCAGGTTGGACAGGGCTTGGAGCAACCTGGTCTAGTGGAAGGTGTCCCCGCCCATGGCAGGGGGTGGAACTGGATGATCTTTAAGATCTCTTCCATCCCAAACCATTCCATGACTATGATTCGTGTCCTGAGATCAGCTGGCTCTAAGCCTGCTCTTCCACAAGGAAAGCTCTTCCACAAGGAGATGCAGTTTTTGTTGTTATCACTGTCAGCTGCAGGAAATAGTCCTGTTCCACAGAAGGAATATTCCTTTTCAGTGGCAGCAGAATGAAGGGCCAAGATGTTTGAAATATGATGATTGTGAAGGTCACTTTTCCTGTCTCTAATATTCATTGGTGGGGGTATAAATTCAGTATGACTATACTTGTCAAAATCTTACATGGGAACAGGTCTTGATGCTTTCAGAGCCTGTCCCAGAGGTTACTCCGAAAAAGTTCTTTGGGACACTGTGAGCTGTGCAAACAAGCTCAGTGCTTCTGTTCATTTATTTAAAGAGCAATAGCAAATATAAAAATAGGTATGTGCAGCTAATTAGCAAAGGTACAAAGTTCACACATATTAAATTCCATCTTCATGTGTAGGTTAAGTAGAAGGGATTATTTATATGTACCTTTTATCTATACATTTATCCTGTGTATTTTTTCTCAGGGAAAAGAATGCAAGGTTATTATTTTAAAAAATGCATTGATGTCCCAGTATCTTCCTTTATACCAATTTCAACTCAGAGCTTTGATATTGTAAAAAAAACAAAAAAGAAAAAGAATTCAACAGCAAATCAGGTGCTCAGACATCAGTGTCTGAGAACAAACACACCTCTACCATGCTTCAGTTCAAGTTCAGCTGGTAGGCTATTAGGTTTGATAAACTGGATGTTTTTATTGATTAAGGTCTTCCCAGTGACAAGATTGAATTGGGAAGGAATTGCAAAATAGTGACTGAGGTGGTGCAGAATGGAAATGACTTCACCTGGACACAGCATTTCCCAGGAGGCCGCACCACAACCAACACATTCACAGTTGGCAAGGAAGCAGACATGGAGACCTTTGGTGGTAAAAAGTTCAAGGTAAATTCATTTGGCTTTTAAGTCCTACAGCCTCGGTTGTTTTTGAATTTAGGGTGAAAAGCAAATCTGTCTCAGGACTAGTGGAAGGTGTCCCTGTCCATGGCAGGGGGTGGAACGAGATGGGCTTTAAGGTCCCTTCCAACCCAAACCATTCTGGGATTCCCTGATTTTGTGATCACCCATCCACACTCATTTCTGGGCTGTTTGCTGGGAGGTTATTGCTATCTGAGATTGCCACTTCAGAATTAACTCCTATCATCCTGCCTTTTACTTCGCTGTCAAAGCACCACATAAATCCCTGAGGATGGAATGAGAAGCACAGCCTGTAGTTCAATCGTTTTCAGAGCTATTAATGAACAGTGTGTAGATTTGGAACATGCAGGTATTGTTAGAAAAACATTTTTCTATTTAAATTGTGAACATTTAAGAACGAAATCACGAGGATTTCAGTCCTGTTCATGAGGCTGAACGTGCAACACACAACTTCTACCTTTTTAAAAGTAAAAACTTTCAGCATCAGGGGTACAGATGTTTACAGAGTATCTGATAATAGAAATTCCTGCAATCCCAGGAACATTAACCCTTTCTCTATTACAGGCAACTGTTAAAATCGAAGATGGAAAGCTGGTAGCTGAGTTTCCCAACTACCGTCACACTGCAGAGATCAGTGGAGGAAAACTGGTAGAGGTGAGTGCTCAAATATCCAGGTTAGTTTATAAAAACCAAAAACCTCAACAGCACCAGGCCCAAAATTTTAAGCTTAGAAAAAATCTTTAGAAAGTAAAGCAAAACTATTAAATAACTTTCTCCTTCTCTCTAGATAACCTTCTACAATTTTGTCCAGGTTTAATCCAAAAATTAAATGAACAAATTTTTCATCTTATACTTTTTATCAACTTGAAATGTAGATCTTGCATCTAAGGTACAGTTTTACAGCTGGAAGAGTGGAATGTTCAGACTGAAATATTCCCAAGCCACCATGACTTTGATTGTATTCACTGTGCCTATGCCTCAAGAATAGAAAATAGAACATACAAAACTATGCACCTACATATTTCTATGAAGTTATTGACTTTGCTTCATTCTTAGAAAACTATCTACCTGCAACTCCTCACAGAATTTCTGTAGAACCCTATTTTCTTAGTCCTATCAAAGGAAAAAACAAACCCACAAACAAAACAACAAAGAGGTTGGATTTCAAGTATTATCTTATTTTGGAAACAAAATGGCAATGCAGCTTTGGAAGATTACTGAAACCCCAATACTAATAATAAAGCTTGTTAGACAGATTGGATTGCCAAATATCACGATTTCTGATTCTCATGAATTATCCTGAATGGACTTGTGTCTGTGCCAGTTACAAATGTCTGAGTGTGCCTTCAACAGGGGTGAGTCATTCTGGGAAACAGGAAAGGACACTCACCCTCCCCGAGAGTGATTGTGTTGGTCATTTACTGCTTTTGGAGAACAATTATCTGACTTGTCTAAAACCCTGACAGCTTGGAGTTGTGAAGCCACATCCAACCCAGGAGACATTGAAGTTACGCCTAAGCCCCTGTCTAGAAGTGCCTTTTGTATAAGGATATTTTTGCACTGTGTATCTCAGACCTGACAAGGATGTTCAGCTTATTTTCTGGATATGTCTCCTACCCAAGGGTAAACAATGTGTCAGTAAAGAGCAGGCTCTGAGCTGTCCCCAGGACTGCTCACCTGTCACACTGAAACTCTAATTACACTGTTCAACTTAACTTTTGATTTGTTCTTTGTTCCAGATTTCTACTTCTTCTGGTGTAGTCTACAAAAGAACCAGCAAAAAGATTGCATAAGCCAGCAAAGCCTGCCTCTTCCAGTGCACTGAAAATCAACAATAAAATCAATAAAATAAAGTGGTGATCGTCTTTCTCTCTTTCTGTGCATTACAAGCATGAAGAATTTTCAGTGATGTTATCCTCATGTTAACACTCACTCATTCCTAAATATCTGACAATTACTCAGAAAATCAGAACACAAAAATTAGAAGATGCAGCAAAGCACTTAATGAGGTTGTCCAGGTATTTCAGGATATGATACAGCCTTGGCATATTCCAGTATTTCCCACCTACCACCTACTTAACAGAAGCTCTATTCAGCTTCTGCCTAGAGAATGGGACAATCTTCTGTGCGACCTGTACGTCAAAATGCAAGACTTGATGAAAATATTTTGCCTCACTGCTGTTTGGAGGGCAGAAGTTTAGGGGCTTAAAAACAAGAGAAAATCAATTTATCACTCATTAGAAGACAAGTTTCATAGTGCCAGCATGGTTTTCTCATTCTGTCGGTATCTGCTCTTGACCCAAACTCTTAGAAGACATTTAAGGTTTCACTCACAGACTCCTGTGGGAAGACTTGGAGCTGTATTTTCTCATTGCAATCCTGGTGTTTACCCGGGGTGCCTGTTTCTGGAGGGAAGGTTCGTGTTTCAGCACTTGAGTCTCATTTGTGAGGCTCATCCTAACCTGTAGCTCAGAGGCCCAGGATGTTTGTTTAAGCCCAGCCAAGCCCCTCACAGCTGCTCGCTCGCTCCCCCACCAGTGGGATCAGGGAGGCAATTGGAAGGGCAAAAGTGAGAAAACTTGTGGGTTGAGATAGAAACAGTTTAATAGGTAAAGCAAAAGCCATGCACACAAGCAAAGCAAACCAAAGAATTAATTCAGCCCTTCCCACGCAGGTGTTCAGCCATCACCAGGAAAGCTGGATTCCATCACACATAACACTGATTTGAGAAGACAAATCACCCCAAACATCTCCCTTTTCCTCCTTCTTCCCTCCACTTTATACACTGAGCATGATCTCATACGGTCTGGAATATCCCTTTGGTCAGCTGGGATCACCTGTCCCGGGTGTGTCCCCTCCCAACATCCCATTCACACCCAGTCCCCTCCGCAGCATGGCCTTATGAGGGGCAGGAAAGGCCTTGGCTCTGTGTAAGCTCAGCAATAACAAAAACATCTCTGTATTATCATCACTGTGTTCATCCCAAACCCAAACCACAGCCCCATTCCAGCCACGGGGAAGAAAACTAACACTACCTCTGCCCAAACCAGCAGACTTGCACAGTCCAGCTTAGGCTTTGGTTTTGTTGGTTTCCATGCTTTATTGTAATAAATGTAATAATCAAAGTATTCTGCACCAGTATTTGAGTTACATGTCAAAGGCATGTTGGAATAATCATGGAAAACATAACAGATGGCTTTGAGATGGAGAGATTCATCATGAGGCTACTTAAAGAAGTCCTGGTGCCCTGTGGACTTGTTGATGACATCAAGTAAATATCTAAATAGCCAATACAGGCTGTTAGAGCCAAAGTTGTGGCATTCTCTGGTAATCCCAGACATGTCCATGTACAGGCCACACTTTGCTGGATAGAGGCCTCACATATTTACTACTTTTTACCCCAGACCATTTTCTCATCCTATATTTCATTGAGATAATCTTGATCGGGATATATCAGGAATCCAGTAAACAAGCTGTCTGTCCAGTAGGGATCATAAAAGAGCCCGTTCTGTTCCGAGTAAAAGATCTGCAGCCATACCTCATCCTCCTGCTTCAGAGAAAGGATGGTTGATCCAGAGGCAACATCATGGTTCCCAGTGTTGGCATCAAAAGTCTTGATCCGGTACTGCCCGTTGTGGACCAAGCCAATGGCCAAGTGTTTGTTGGCCAAAGTGATGTCATAGGTGAAGTAGTAAATACCTGGGATGCTGCATACGAATTTCCCACTGGAAGCATTGTAATGTCCTCCCTCATTCATCAGGATCCTGTCAAATTTGATGGGCAGCCTTTCCCTGGGGTAGCTCTTGGAGACTGCCACAGAGAAGGCAGATTTGGCTTTGTTGGCATTACAGGTGCAGGGTCCCGGCATCCCAGCCTCGCCCTTGTTCCCTTTGGGTCCTTTCTTTCCTGGTGCCCCGTTTTTCCCAGGATTACCCTTTAAACCCTTGGGCCCTCGTGGGCCTGCCTTGCCAATAGCTCCTGCTTTCCCCTTCGGTCCTGGTTTGCCAGGGTTTCCTGTTCTGCCTTGTGGACCTAGAAGACAAATAACCTCAGTTTTTCAGTGAAAGAGTTGACATGGCAGGTGGAAATGTATTATATCATTGCAGCAGAGTGATTCATTAAGGAGGAAAACCTTGCTGGTGTGAGAGTCCTGATGAAATACTACCTGGAGCTGGACATCTGCCTGGACTGACTATCCAGGGTTGTTGGTGTGATAACAGTGGAACTCAGGAGCAGAACAGTCTGCCCCTTTAAGGACCAAAAGGCTGGTTCTATTATCTGTCTCTCTTGAGAAAAAGGAGGAACTAAAGAAGAAGCTTTAAATATTTGGGGTTTACAGGAGTGAAGCAGGTTTGTGAAGCTTTTGGAACCTCACTTTGAGCAGGTAGAGTATTTTTAATCACGTGTCTCTTTTTTTTTCTTTTCTTTTTTTTTTTGCATTTAGCATGAAAGTGTTAAAAACAAATTAAAAATAAATCTAGGTGTAGTAAAAGACCAGCCCAGCCCAGCTGGGGGATGAACCAGCAAACACTCAGGGCCAGGACTGGCTTGAGATGTGAAATGGGAAGTGAGTTGGGCTGTCACAGTGATTCTGATGTAGTAGTATCTGATATAAGCAGATTCATGAGGATTTATGCACCGTCTCCTAACCTGCTGTAGCAAGACTGGATTTAAGTGCAGCTGTGGTTGGAAATCTGTTTTCCAAATTCCAGGTTTTGGGGGTGGGAGAAGGGAGTAAGAAGCATGTTGGGCTCGCTGGTGTTGGCTGAAGCAGGAGTGCACTCTAGTGTGGCAATGGGAAATCACTGGCTCTCCACCACAGCTGATCCCGGCGCCTCCTGACTCCAAGGCTGGATCCAAAGGGCAGCCCCACCTCAGGATTAAAGAAGGGCTGTTGTTTGCTTTGATTTAGGTCCAGCACGGCCAGAGCAGGGCTTGTCCCCTGGTGCTATGGGCAGTAAGTATTTCATTTTTTCAACTGGCTCTGTTTTGCCTGAGAGCAGGAGTCAGAGACCAGCACTTTGTCTCTATCAGAACAGAGCAAACCTCACTTTGTAACAAAGCGAAGCCAATAGGAATTGCAAACAGTGGGACATGATGTGTGTCTGGAACCCGTCTGACAAGTGGGACAAGTTGGAGAGGGGAGAGTGGAAATTTCTGGAAGAGTTTCCTCTGAGATGTTGCCTGTCCTTGGGCTCAGATTTGGGTGACAGGTTGCTGTGAACTGGACTGTTGCACCACGACCTTTACGCAGTCCCTTGCTCTGCTGAGCACTTTTCCCTTACCTTCATCGCCGTGCTCGCCTTTATCCCCGTCCTTGCCATCCTTGCCATCTTTTCCTGGGAAGCCCATCCTGCCAACTGTCCCTGGAGTGCCGGGCACGCCGGGGGGGCCGGGAGGCCCAGGGGGTCCTGGCAGGCTGCAGGCCAGCTGGGGACCTTCCTGCAGCTCTCTCTTGGCAAAGCCCCCGAGGATGTGGTTTGCCACACAGGGCACAGTCCAGAGGAGGAGCACAGCAGAGATCATGGCACAGCCTGTGAGGAGGAGATGGGATGTGGTGGCAGCATGTGGGATACAGCACCAGTGGGATGGGTGAGAGACTTGCATGAAATTGGGAGGGAATTGGGCTTTTTTTGGCAGGATGGGGGAGCTGTTTGCTTTGGTGTGACATGAATTCAAGGATTGGCTCATGGAGTTTTCTAGGTCAGACAACATTTTTTTTCAAGCTTATTCTTCTCTAAGCCTGTATCTGTGGCCATTGCTCATTTTGTTCTGCTACCTGGGCCTCTTTTCCCCAAAAACACAAGGAGCAATGGCAGAGGGGTGCAGAAATCAGCTGCCTGGGATGAGGGGAGTGGAGGAAGGGGTTTGGTATGGCTGTGCCCAGTATGACCTGCCCTGCAGTTGTGTCACTGGGGTTTCTTCCCAAGCACAAACCCATTGTGTGATGCAGGGCAGGATTCAGGAGACAGGCTGGGGAGGCTTTGGCCAGTCCTTACTGCCATTTGCCTGTCAGAACAAGCTAAGCCTCATAGCTAACATCCCATTCCCCATTGCAGCTTGGCTGATCAGGAGACTTTAGCAATTCCCCAGTAGTGTTATGTTTAACTCCTGCACTGGAAAGAAGATGTTTAAAGTACTGGATAAATTCCATGTTGGCATTAGTGTTCTCATCCTGGTATTGGCTCCTGAAGGGGTGGAAATGCATATTTAGATGCTCCAAATCCAGTGAGCTGATCCTACATATTCATGCTCAGTGGGAGCCCCCAGTTCTGCAATATTATAGTTAAGAACATGCAGAGGAGTGGGAAATGCAAACCAGATCTCCAGGCTGGTTTTGGCTGCTAAACCATTTTGTTCTTAAGCTCTCTCTTGCTATTCTTATACAAAAATTTATTTGCTGCTGGTGAAAGGTGTCAGTTTAACAGACTTGTGAGATGGAAAACACCAACCGGTGTTCATGTGGAGAGTTGAACAAAGGCTTCTCAGCTCATGGAAAGGGAAACAAAATGTTAAAATTCCTGTGAAGTGGGGAGATCACAAGGAAAGCTATATCCCTGCTTCCCAAGAACCACCTCAAGCAGAAGAGAAGCAGGAGGCATCTGGAGGTGGATGACACTAATAAGTTGTGGCAAGAAAAAATGTCACTGTGGAGCATAACCTGGAAAAAAGCTGGGAATGTTTCATGTAGAGAAGAAACGTGTGAGAGGGAGCACAGGGTGGGAGGGCAGCTCCTTCTCTGAAAGTTTCTTATCATAAGTACTTTTATTACCTTGAGACAACCCAGGTCTTG